AGGTGGTATGGAAAGACCCCGATGGTGGGGGGGGGGGGCAGGGTAAGTGTAAAGCAGCTTTGAGGCCCTGCCCATCCTAGAGGGGCCTTTCCCAAGGCGGTGATGGAGGTTGTGGGGCGCGGCCCCTCAGCAAGGCGACCCAGCTGGGGAAAAGCCACGTCCTGGTGGTGCTGGATTTTGCTACCTGCTGCCCGAGGCAGACACGGTGGCAGACGCTGCTGGCCCTTTTCAGCAGGGTGGGGTTCCCCAGGAGGTCCTCACAGACCAGACCCTGCTGGCCCGTGAGGGAGCCTTGTGGGGTCCGGCGTGTCGCTCCCAGTCCAAGGGGCCGGAGGAGCAGTTCAATGGGACGCTAAAGCGCATGCTGAAAACCTTTATGCACCAGCACCCGCAGGACTGGGACCCGTGTCCACCCCATCTGCTGTTCGCAAGCAGGGACGTGCCCCAGGGTCCACGGGGTCCTCCCCGTTCGAGTTGTGTACGGGAGGAGGATGAGGGGCCCCTGGATCTGGTGAGGGAGGAACGACGGGAGGGGAGGCCTCTCCGGATGAGAATTGGTGGTGGAGAACGTACTGACCTTCCGGGAAAAGCGCGCTGAGAACCTGGCCAGGGCACAGAGGAGGTGGAAAGCCTGATATGGCCGTTCTGCGGGCGCCCGCTCCCACGCCACTGGGGACCAGGGGATGCTCCTCATCCCGGTGAGGAAGAACAAGCTTTAGGCAGCCTGCGAAGGCCCCTTCAGGCTCGTCAGACAGGTCAGTGAGGTGACTGTGTGGTGGAACGGTCCAACCGGGCGCTCAGTCGCCGACTGCACCATGTCAGCACGGTGAATCCGTACTGGGACAGGGAGAAGTTGGGGCTGGAGTGTGTGGGCAGTGGGGGGGGGAGGATCCCCTGGTGAGTCTCCTCCCGGAGGCTGAGGCGACACCTCATTGGATTCAGTTCCCCACTCTGACCAGCTAACCCCGGCACAGCGCATGGAGTTCGGAGAGGTGCTGTGTTCCCGCCAGCAGATGTGCTCCTCTCGGCCCGGGCTCGCTAACCCGGCTGGGCCCCGGGTGGAGACGGGAGCCCATGCTTGAAAGGTGACGTCTTAGGGACTTCTCTTGGGGTTCCTTTGTCTTCCTAAATCCGCAGGCCCACCCTGGCCTGGCCAGCAAACACTCACCCGTCTCCCTCGATGTTCATTGTTTGGACGCTCCCCTAGGTGACGAGCGGTAAGTGAACCGTGTCCAACCCAGGACCCGGCAGCTCTCAGATTAACCCCGAGAGACCGAGAGAAGTTTGGGGCAGGCCCAAGCCACAGTCTGGGCCCCAGTGGTGTGAAAAAGCCCCTTAGAAGAACTTGATTGTGCAAATGCGGGTGCTGGGGGAGGGCGTGTGTGGGCAGATCTGAGGAACTCCCGTTTAAATTGGGAACACGAGTTACCTGGCTGCCTGGCAAGGCCAGATACATAGAGAAACCCCTAGAATTACCCCCTTTCGAGAGGGTTAGAATTCTAGTGAGGCTGCAGAAACCATTTCTAAGGAGTGTGAGGGATAATGAGTGTGAGGGATAATACCGAAGTTTCCCTTTTAAGCATGAATTTGAATGTTTGATTTTCAGTCACGCACAGTGAAGGGAGGTGAGACGCTCCGTGTTGAACGACAGGCCGTGTGCAGATTCAAAACATTGAAGTTTTACAACCATTAAACCACCAATTGTCAACTCACACATCAAACCGCACGAAGTCGATAGCCTCAAATCAAACTCCAACACGTTCTCATGCCGCCGTTTTCCTGCTTTGCCTCTTGGCACATTTCCATGCGGAGTGCGGGAAATGCAACACTGACCACTTAAAATCGACTCCTTCCAAGCCTCCCTTAGCAGAGCTGGCGCGCTGCGTATTCCGCGACCTCGCTGTCACTGGGCTGTCCACACGGACCCTGACAGCGTTCTGGGGAAATAAGATGGCGCCCTGGCCAGTAGAGGTTCAAAGTAGCCGTTCACCCAGGGCTCTTGAAAAACCTGGCCTCGCAGGCCCACTGTCACAGAACCGCCCTTACTTCCCCACCACCCCGCCTCAGGGCTCACGTTCTCACAGAACCTATGGGCCCGGGGTCTCATCCCACAATGCCTTTGCACCCTGACGGAGAACCTCGAGTATCTGATGCACTCCACACCCAAAGGGCCTGCTTTGAAACGCTGCGTGTGTCATTACAGGCTGCTCCGAAACAGAGGCTCACAGGAAAGCAACTCACAGCAGCGAGCAGAAGAACGGCCAGGCTGGGTCAGAGCAAAGGTCCAACCAGCCCAGGGTCCTGTTGGCCACAGTGGCCAGTGCCAGGTTCCCCAGAGGGAGGGAACAAAACAAGCAGCCAGTGCCCCCTCCCCTGTCGCCCATTCCCAGCTCTGACACACAGAGGCCAGGGACACCCGCCCTGCCCAGCGTGGATAACGGCCACTGATGGACCCAACCTCCATGAATCTATCCAGCTCTTTTTTGCCCCGTTAAAGTTCTAGCCTCCACCACAGCCTCTGGCGAGGAGTTCTACGGGCAGCCTGCCTTGTATGAGGAAAAACTTCCTTTTGTTTGTTTTAAACCTGCTACCTCAACTTCATTTCTTGACTCCTGGTTCTTGTGTTATGAGGAGTAAATAATTCTTCATTCACGTTTTCCACGCCCGTCATGATTTTATAGACCACTACCATATCCGCCCTTAGTCTCCTTGGCTCTAAGCTGAAAAGTCCAAGTCTTTTTAATCTCCCTTCATTTGGGACCAGTTCCAAACCCCTCATCATTTTGTTGCCCTTTTCTGAACCTTTTCCAGTTCTAAGATACCTTTTTTGAGACGAGTTGACCACATCTGTATGCAGTATTCAAGATGTGGGCGTACCATGGATTTATAGAGAGACGAGATATTCTCTGAGCCTAATCCAACCCTAACCCCAATCAAACCCTAAAGACCTGCACCTCAAAAGCCAGGATTGAGTACAAGCAATGGGGACCACAGGCCTCAGTGGAACGCCAGCTGGCCTCGGACGCATTGCCGTTTTAACCAGCTTGTTCCCGAGTTGAACAAACTACAGCAGGAAGGTCTGAGCCCTTCTGCCAGCCGAGAACTTTGTGAGAACTTTCCCCAGGGCCTCTCTGACCTCCGTGTTGCGCAGGCTGTAGATGAGCGGGTTGGCCAGAGGGGTCAGGACGGTGTAGAAGACGGAGAACACTTTGTTCAGGGCTCGCAGGGTGTCGGTTTGGGGGAGCATGTAGACAACCATCAGGGTCCCATAGAAAACGGACACCATGGTGAGGTGGGAGGAGCAGGTGGAAAAGGCCTTTCTCTTCCCGGTGGTGGACGGCATGCGCAGGATGGTGGAGATGATGCAGACATAGGTTGCCAGGGTCAATAGAAACGGCGGGAGAGTGCACACAGCGGCCAGCAGGGTGGTGACAAACTCCATCCTCCGGGTGTCCCCGCAGGAGAGTTTCACCACCGGGATGAAGTCGCAGAAGAAATGGTCAATTTCATGGGGGCCGCAGAAAGTTAGTTGTTGCATTAAATATATGGTTATGTCGGCCACCAGAGAGCTGCCGAGCCACGTGCCCGCTGCCAGCTGGAGGCAGGACCTGCCGTTCATACGGGCGGCGTAGTGCAGCGGCTTGCAGATGGCTACATACCGGTCGTAGGACATCACCGCCAGGAGGTAACACTCTTCAACAGCCAGGAAACCAAAGAAATAATATTGCGTGAGGCAGGCTGGGATGGAGACGGTCCTGTCGCCCGTCAGGAGCCCGGCCAGCAGCCGGGGCAGGATGGTGGAGGAGTAGCAGGTCTCCAGGCAGGACAGGTTCCCCAGGAAGAAGTACATGGGGGTGTGGAGATGCTGGTCGGACACGACGAGAACTACGATGAGGAGGTTCCCGGCCACAGTCGCCAGGTAGATGGCGAGAAACAGCAGGAAGAGGAGGGGCTGCAGCTCCGGGAGATCCCCGAACCCCAGCAGGACGAATTCCATGACGGCCGTTTGATTCCCCTGCTCCGGGCTCGCCATGCGGTGCCACTGGGGGGAAGAAACCCAACTTCCTGTGGAACCAGAAGAGGATACATTTTAGTCACGTTTTAGCATCCACTTGGATCCCCAAATATCCCAGAAGGCCCCTCATCCCGTGGGGTCAAGGAAGAAACAAGACCAAACTTCCTACCTTTGAGATCTTTGAGATTCCGTTATCAGCCCCCCCGCCCCCAGTTAAAAGGGGGAGAAAGGGGGAAAACCACAGCAAGCCATTTTGTATTCGCCTTTTCTAACTTTGGCAAGTGGTCCCCATGGATCACCCGGGAGGACTGTGGAACTCCTCGCCAGAGGACGTTGTGAAGATCAGGACTAACAGGATGCAAAAAAGAGCTAGATAAATTCAGGGAGGACAGGTCCATCCATGGCTGTTTCGATGGGCAGGAATGGTGTCCGTAGCCTCAGTGTCAGACAGGGGAGGGATCACGGGAGGATTCCCGGTTCTGTTCCCTCCCTCGGGGGCACCTGGCGCTGGCCACTGTGGGCCGACAGGACACTGGGCTGGGTGGACGTTTGCTCTGACCCAGCCTGGCCGTTGTGATGCTCTTAGGAGTTCCTGCTTTGCAAACCAGTTATTGATTCGGCTCCTGCTGGCCGGTTCCCCTGGACTCAGCCTACAGCGGGGGAAGTGACCAGCGCCGTCTCCAGGCAGGTCACGTTAATGTGCATGAGGCCAGGCCCAGCCCGTCCTGCGGCTTTTGTCCTTTTTCCATGTGTGACGTGCACCTGCGACCCCTCCGAGACACGTCCCCGAGCTGTGTCTCACAAACGGATGCCAAGCGCGCCTCTCGCTCTCCTTACGGTTCCCCCCCAGGCGTGTCCTCCCCCCCTCATAGCATAGGCGTGCCACCGGTCCCTGGCCAAGCCTGCCCGGCTGTGTGCAGGCCAACCAGCCCTGTATTTGTGCGTATGTGTGTGTGGGGGGAGAGGGGGCGGAGGGGGTTGCTTTAGCTCAGTGACACTGCCCCTGGCTTTCGGTCCCTGACGGAGCTCTGGTGACCACTCTGGAGTGCCTGGCATCCCTTGGAGACCTGCTCCTGGACCAAGGCCCTTTGCGCTCGGAGCCGCACAAACCCGGCCTGGCCTGTGCGAAGGGCTCGGGAAAGTCCTGGGCGTAGTTCTCGTTCTCACGGCCGAGAGCGTTCCAGCACCGAGTGCCGCGCAGCACTAGCATGTCCTCTCTGTCCAGGGCCCGGGGAAAGCCCCGGCATCACCCGGAAGGCAGCGAGCCCCGGGGACGGGCGGAGGATGCAGACTGTTTCTTCCCCATCCCAAGTGGGCCGGTTTACGCAAAGGGCGGCATGGCAGGAGTGTTACCTTCAGGCGGGCGCAGGAGAAACTGGAGTCTGCGACATGAACTCTTGGCTTGGCGGTTCAGAGAGGACAGGATCCTGGCTCTGCCACCCCCTCGCCTAGTTCACTTGCCTCGCGGTACGTCTCCCCTTCCCTGGCGGAGGCAGAGGGGGCCCGTGCGGCTGCACAGCGCAGTGAGCTGCCTGGGTTGGCTGGATGCCCCGGTTGTATTGAGACTCTGGGTTTGCCTTGCCTTGTGCCAGTCCCCAGCAAACACACCTCTCTCCTGAGTCCTCTTACTCTGCAAACCCTGCAGGTGAGTTTCCCCGGAGACTTTGAACATGCTATGAACTTCTCCTTCACATGCATATTAACACTTTGTAGCTTGGAGGGGAGATGGGGCGTTAATAGACTCAAACGTCTACTGGCCACTCAGGGAAGTGGGCAGAGCCCTCAGGAGTCACCGAGTCCAGCCCCCAGCCCAAGTCAGGACCAACCCCAACTCAATCAACCCAGCCAGGGCTGTGTCAAACTGGAACTTCAAAACCTCTAGGGATGGAGATTCCACCCCCTCTCTAGGGATCCCATCCCAGCGCTTCCCCACCCGCTTAAGGAAAGAGTTTTTCCTAATCTCCAACCTGGACCTCCCCCACTGTAACTTGAGACCATTGCTCCTTGTTCTGCCATCTGCCCGAACGAACATGTCTTTATCAAGATGGGAGGGGTTGCGACTAATCTGGAGGATAGGGTCATAATTCAAAATGATCTGGACAAATTGAAGAAATGGTCTGAGGTAAACAGGATGAAGTTTAATAAAGACAGATGCAAAGTGCTCCACTTAGGAAGGAACAATCAGTTTCACACATACAGAATGGGAAGTGACTGTCCAGGAAGGAGTACGGCAGAAAGGGATCTAGGGGATATAGTGGACCACAAGCTAAATATGAGTCAACAGTGTGATGCTGTTGCGAAAAAAGCAAACACGATTCTGGCCTGCTTTAACAGGCGTGTTGTGAGCAAGACACGAGAAGTCATTCTTCTGCTCTACTCTGCTCTGATTAGGCCTCAGTTGGAGTATTATGTCCAGTTCTGGGCACCGCATTTCAAGAAGGATGTGGAGAAATTGGAGAGGGTCCAGAGAAGAGCAACAAGAATGATGAAAGGTCTAGAGAACAGGAGCTATGAGGGAAGGCTGAAGGAATTGGGCTTGTTTAGTTTAGAAAAGAGAAGATTGAGAGGGGACATGAGAGCCGTTTTCAAGTGTCACAAGGAGGAGGGAGAAAACTTGTTCATCTTGGCCTCTGAAGATAGAACAAGAAGCAAGGGGCTTAAACTGCAGCAAGGGGGGTTTAGGTTGGACATTAGGAAAAAGTTCCTAACTGTCAGGGTGGTGAAGCACTGGAATGAATTGCCCAGGGGGGTTGTGGAATCCCCATCTCTAGAGATATTGAAAAGCAGGTTAGATAAACGTCTGTCAGGGATGGTCTAGACAGGATTTGGTCCTGCCATGAGGGCAGGGGCTGGACTAGATGACTCTCGAGGTCCCTTCCAGTCCTAGTATGCTATGATTGTGTGATTGGAAGCCTGGAAACAGAGCAGGGCCCCATTGTGCTCAGGGCTGTGCAAACATAGAACAAGGACATGGCCTCCCTCACGCTCACCTCTTGAAACCATGCGTGAAATACTTGGCTATTCATTGGGCCAGAGCGAGAGGTGGAGAATTGCTCTCTGGTCCCCTGGCTGTGGCTCTGGGCTAGGCAGCAGGAGACCCGGCTCGTGTTCCTTGCCGCAATGTGGAGCTTGTTATTTCATACGTTCCCATGTCCCGGCTGTGTCCCAGAGCTGTCCTGGCCTGAGTGAGCTGCAAAGGGTGACGGTGCGTGTGTCTCTTGTGGTCATTGCACAAGGAGCACAGCCAAGCTAGCACTGGGGTGCACGTTTACTCTGCACCTGCTGATCAGAATGACGGTGCGTGCACCTTTCCCTTCTCCCACCTGTTGGTCAGCCCGCATCTCTTCTGCTGTGCCCCTCCAAAGGGAATGCCGGCTGGACTAGCCCATCTCCCAGTGAGCTCTGTTTTCCCACCCACCAGCTTTGCTTCATTCCTAGACTTCTGCTCTCCTTCACCAGGCATGGCTTGAGTTCCTGCAGGAGGCCTTTTTGCTTGGACTTTTGTCTCTTCTCTGCAACTTTCCTACCCCCCAGCTCTTGTTCTGGGTCACCGTGATGCTCTGCCCTAGCAGTAAGGGGCATAATGAACAGACCTGCCCCAGAGGCCAGTTCAACAAACCACGCGCAGGGCTGTAAAAGTTGCCACATTTGTCTACAAAAGACTTTCACCACCCAATTACAGAATGAGAGTGCAGAACTGGAATTATCTACAGATTTGACACGGTCACCCTGAGCTTGAATAAAAACATTAAGTGGCTGGTGCATTACAAAGCCCATTTCCCCTGCCTTTGATATCCACTTACATTTATTCCTCACGCTGGAGATGAAGGCAACAGAGAATGGGAAGTCTGACAAGAGAGACTTAGAACAGCTTAGTGCTTTGATTGCCCAATGCTTTTGATGCAAGACAAACATTTGGAGCACTGAGGAAAAGGTAAAACACCAGCAGGAAATGGTTGGAAACATCCCTGGGAGTTGAAGGAATTCTCAGAATAGTAGGATAGCTGAAAATGTATAGGCTGGGTTTCCCCTAGGAGGCTGATGTTAGGCACCCAAACCCCAGAATTCAAACCTTGGGATTCACAAACCCAGCAGGTTCCCAAGTGTTTGCAGGAAACAGGCTTTAGGTGCTTCTGGACACTCCCTCTGCCACCCCGCACCAGGCATCCCGACACTGAGACCCTGGAGTGATGTACAACCCGGGGAAGGTAAGTGTTCCCCTGCCTGACTTGCAGGGCCCAGTGCAGCAAGCCAGGGGTCCAGACACTTTGGAAAAACTCATTAGGCCTCCAAGTACCTTGAAAAACTGGCCCTAAATCATTCCTACAAAACGGGCAGACAAGGTTCAGTGCTAGCATCCCATGGCTCAGGTCAGAGGGTTTCCTTTGGCTTCTCTCTTCTGGGATGAAACACCCACAAGAGAGCAAATATGAATGGTACAAATCACCTAACAAATCGCCCCAGGTGGGCGTGGCAAGCGGCGCTCTCTGCATATTTTGGAGATTTGTGCGTCTATCTGTCAGAGTCCATTTGTTCGAGAATCCCTCCTAAATGGTAAGAGCTAGGGCCACCAAATTTGGTATGCTGCTTATAAGTAAGGAGAAGAGGAAGCTAAGTCAGAGTTTGGTTGTGCCAGGAAATCAGGAAGTGCCTGAAGTGGGACTGTGATTGAAATGTAGCCGTGTTAGTCTGGGGTAGTTGAAGCAAAATGCAGGACAATGTAGCACTTTAAAGACTAACAAGATGGTTTATTAGATGATGAGCTTTCGTGGGCCAGACCCACTTCCTCAGATCAAATAGTGGAAGAAAGTAGTCACAACCATATATACCAAAGGATACAATTAAAAAAAAGAACAAATATGAAAAGGACAAATCACATTGCAGAACAGAAGGAGGAGGCGGGGGGGTGGGAAGGGGGAGGAAGGAAGGTAAGTGTCTGTGAATTGATGATATTAGAGGTAGGGAGAGTGGGATGTTTGTGAGTTAATGGTATTACAGGTGATAATTGGGGAAACTGT